GTATAATAAAATGCCGATTAACTTTTCTGAACGTTCGGGTGTTAAACGATTTCTAAGACAAGAATGAACAAATGACCAGTTTGAAAATAATCTTTCAATTTGTGCTGATGACGATAGAATGTTAATCAATCGTTGAGCTAATTGAGAAAGTACTGGGTATGAGTTTTCGGCCATTTGCCAAAATGATTTTGGAGGGATATTTCCTTTTTTCAGTAATGATTCAAAAATTCCAACTTTATTTTCATAAGCTTCCATTTCATGATAAGATTCATTTAATTCATTCCTTATAAATTCAATAGCTTGCGAATAATATTTATCGTTATGACGAAATTGTTTTCCTTGATAATGTGGATGCAATAAATTCGCTGCTAATAAAATTGGAGTCAATACTTTGTCAATGCGCTTTTGGACAATTTCTTGGATTTTTTCATCCTCAATCGGAACGTTTAATTTCATCCACTCTTCAGCTGCATCAGGTATAGTAAAATTTGACTGTTGACATTTATTAATTAATGAACAAACTGGATCAGATAAAACGATGAAATCTTGTAATTTTGTTATTAAAGAATCATCGGAAATCTGATCATTCAAAGTAATCAATTTTTCTTTCTCTTGTTTTTTTGATTTTATAAAAGACGGCTTGTTTAATTTATTACTGATAATTTTTTTCATTATATCTAAATTTTTTAAGCAACACCGAAACGCATCACGATAACTGCACCAACGAGTTTCGCAAGCTAATTTAATTTTTGTTCCTCCATTTTCAATAAGGTCCTTAGCAAGTAAATTTCCATGATGACTGCTGCATCATCCTGCATGCCATAAATTTACAGCTTTACCCATTGCTGTCATAACTGGAGCGTTATCAGAAACTACGGCATAAATGGTTTTATTATAATTTGTTTTGGCTATTTCGACAGCTTCTTCAATAACTTTGGTTAATTGTTGTGTATCTTCAGATAATGATGTGAAATCCCAAGAGTTTAAAAAAAAACTTGGTTCATTTGCTGTATGAATAATACATACAACATTTTTAGTATTTGCAACTGAATTTTTCCAACCATCTATCACTATTACTCCTTCTGACTGATCTATTTTTGTGTGTCCACTTGAAATTTTTCTGTGTAATTTATTTAACAACGTATTGGAGAGAGTTTTTCTGCATGGCAGATGACAGTTCGGATTTAACGACTTCACAAACTCTTTAAACGGAATTGATTCAACAATACTAAACGGAAGGTTGCATCCTGCGAAAAATTTCACAAGTTTTTCATCAATAGTTGATAAATCACTCCTACTATTTGATGAAATGCTTGAGGCCGCTTCAGATTGATTATCAAATGAAATATCAGCAGACCTTTCTTCAGAGGATCTACTTAGCATCTATAGAAATGTAAAGAAAAATTTATTCAAAATAAAGAAAAATTTGTTTTTTTGAAAATATTCACTGAGAAAAAAAATACTTTTACTCAATTAACAATTTCTTGATTCAAGAAATTAGATGAGATCAAATATTCTATTATTTTTAATTACTAATTTCTGAAGAAAAGAGCATCAATATTTATCTTTGGATAATAGATAAACAAGAGAATAGGTTTATTTAAGTTAAGTAAAAATTATTTCAATCAATGTAACAAGTCCTTGAGCTAAGAATATATATTCTCAAAAATTTTCAAGAACATGAATTCTTGTATCAAGGAAATTTTCTTAATAAAATTATTTTTTTTTTCTCAGTGTAATTATCGCTTTGCAACATACCTTAGTTTTTCCCGAGA